CTGCTTCAAATTTACTCAGCTAGTCATTGAAGCCCGCAATTTCAACTACGACGCATTTGGCTTTCAAGGCGGAGTATGTATTATTGATGATATAGCATATGAAGCTAAAGCCGTTTACAACTGTCTCTTTGGTACGTTGTTTGTGAAGTGAGTAAAGTGCAAGCAATTCAAACTTTGCCACGGCAAATTAAGGAAACTTCCCGATCACTGCACAAGTGGTCTTCATGGAATCAATCGTATAAGAAATTATAGGAAGAAAACTTCATGGTTTTCAGAACCCCATATCAGTCCCTTAGTTGAACTACCGATAGAGACCTGCCAGACCCTACAATGTGCCTTCACTGACGGTGAATGCTTAGAGGCTATTACGGGATCCGGATGGAAAGTCGCCGAAGAGCCAGTCGGAAATTACCATACCGGCATTCGAAAACTTCTCGGTAAATTAATTTTTCAATATCATTCATTTCAGTTAAGAGACCAGACAGTTGATTCATTTAGTCAACCCTGTCCTACCCTAACCCTCGAAACTAAAGCTAAGGACATTGTTACTTGTTACTATCAGCTTTCAAAAAATAATAATAAGGAAGTCCTTAAACATCACAGAATTAGTAATCTGAAATTGTTTACATCTAAAACAACAACCTAGAAGATTCCTACAGCACAAGTGTATAAACAAGCGTCAATTCTAGAATCAAGCTACGCTTACGCCCGCGGCACAGGTACCAGAGTATTTTCTCTGGGCAAATTCAAAATTACACGAGAAGCTCAACTGGAGTTCTGTTACTACCGGTAAGCCTCAAGCATCATGAACCAAACCATTAGGCCACTGCCCGATGAAGATACTGAATAATTTTAACCGACAATTTTGACCAGTACAAAATTCCTTTTAAAGCGCATCTTGGAAAACAAGATTAACAATATTCCTAACTAAGGACGAAGGAGAAAATATAACAAAAATTTATGAAAGCGACCCACTGGAAGCTTACCCGCATAAATGGAAATGTGATGGAGTACGACTTAAAGAAGGGAGTTACGACTCAGTAAGTAGTTGAAAACTAGATTTCAAAATCAACTGCAACCTCAGTAAAAAGTAGCCTCTTAGTGCGAGTGTTCGCTACGATGAGGAAACA